ATGTCTCTATTGAAGGGGCATTCCCAAAGCTGATGATATAACGTTTCATTAGGTGCGCCGCATCTAGGACATGCCGTGCTGCCTATTCCTGTGTTCTGGAAACGTCGCTGGTTGGGCCACAAGGCCCCTTGGGAAACCATCTCCAGAATGGCAGCCCTATGGCTTAAACCTTTATTGCGCAAAAACTTCAAATGGGCCCAAGTCACAGTTAAGTCCACCCCGTACTCAACCCCCGAGCCCGAGAAATGCTGGCTGGCTTGGGCCCAAATACTCTGCTCCAGGGAAGATCCTACTTCAAAGTCGAGCCTGTCGAGGCCCTCTGCTCCTTCAAAGCTAAACCTGAGCCCACAAGGAATGGTCCACTCCCCTGGTGTGTTGGGGTTCCAATTCATATCTAAAAGAGTGGCTTGCACTGCCGCCATGTGCCCCTTGACCTGCAGCCAGCGGTGGTCCGACTCCCTCAGCTTGGCCAAGGACTCGTCCCAGGCTTTGTCGATGGCGGCACGCCACTCGGGGATCCTAGGGAGATGTTCCTGCCAGGCCTGCAAAAGCTCAAGAGGTCCCCAAAAAAGGGGGTCACTGCGTTTCCCAAGACTAATCCTAATGGCAGTGGTGGCACAACCACCTGCCCACTTACTACCGCACATGGCTGAGACTTTCGCCCGAAGCTTCTTAAGATTCGTGGGCGCTAATCCCATGGCAACGGCTCCCCAGGACACCTGCGGCTTGTAGCCAGTGTTGGCTAGCTTTTTGGCCGCCTTCACGCTTTTACCCAGGACTCGAATCGCTACAGCTCGTTTGGCTCCCTTCTTGTGTCTACCTTTGATGGTCCCTTGCGTCCTGGAAGCAGTAGCTACATCCACTCCAAGATCACGCGCCGAGAGTTCCACTTTAATAGGTAACTGCAACTCCTTAATACGCTTCCGCAATGCCACACGCACTGACGGAGAGCTCGCCAGGCCAACTGATTTCTTTGAAATTCGCAATCCTTTGCTGTACATACCCGTCGTGAGCTGGATGGCCACTTGCGTAGCCTGGTCCACTACTCCTTCTGCCGTGCCTATGTTGAGTTGCGCCAAGTCGTCGACCCAGCTGCCGATGGAATTTTGAGGAGGAGGATGCGCTCGATGAATATTGTCTAACATGTCCCACAGATATATTCTGGACCAGGCTACGCTTTGCATGCAACCAGCGATAATAGAATGGTTGACCTGGATGCTGTCCGAGAGCATAGTGCCAACCGCGAGCCACCTATCAGCCATGTGCTGCAGCATGGCAAGGTAAAAGGGCAAAAGGGGGTAATCCAGATTTCCAGCTAAGACTGCCAGTTGCTCGCCCTGGATAAGGTCATAAAACTTCTCTGCGTCCCACAGAAGCTGCACCCAACTAATATTCAAAAGTCCACACGTTTCTGCTTTAAGTTGCCTTAAAACCGCTGCTCGTAAAGGACTGCTTCCTTTTACCGCTGCATCCCAGAAACCCGCTTTGCTGCGTTCCCATGTAACTATTGCTTGCTTGCGCATCACACTCCATAAACGATAGGGCCCTGGGGTCAACGTAATCGGTCGATCTCCTCCTGGCGGCGGTTTCGGGGTGAGGGCGACGACGTTGATCAAGGTTTGCACTGGCCATTTCAGTTGGGACTCCACAGCAACGAAAAATTCCAACAACTGCTCTTGGCCCTGCTCTGGTAGTGTGAGCCACTGTCTAGGGTTCCACGGGTCGGCTCCAAGGCCTGCATGGTCCTTAAAATATCGCATGCCATGCCGCAGGTCTGCAACCGTGAGATCTGGCAAAGGTCGCTCTTCCTGCTGCGCATGAGCGGCTTCACGAAGACGCTGAAGCCAAAAAGGAAAAGGTTGCTTAGGTCCTCCAATCGTTCCTCCCCAGAGTCTCGACCACCTTTCCGCCTTCACCTTCATCATCTCAATTGGTTCAATTACCTCATTTCCTCCTTCGTCCTTCTCGATGTTTAGGCTTGGCTCCTCCACCTGCCACGTCCTGGAAAACTGATGGGCCCAACTAGCTCCCGAGGACAAGCTGGTACTAAGAAACTTCCGAAATCCTGCTGTGCTTTCTTTCATGGCCACGATGGAGACCTTAGCAAGAACTTCTTTAGCTGCATTTAAAACTTCGCGGATGTCCTCCTTGGTCGAGGGAGGCGATATCAAGGCGGCATTGATCTTGTCGCCTGCATTCCTAGCCGATTCTGGAACTGCTGTAAAGTATTGTGCTACCTGTGCCTCGGTATTCCATGCTTCAATCTGTTTGTGTATAGCCATGCGGTGATTCTGTACAGTAGCGCTCGTGCTCTTATCAGCCAAAGTAAACAGCTCCTGGAACCTGGATCGAATACCTCCCCAGAAACACAGTTCATGAGAGCGTCCAAAATGTCCAGGCGGTTTTGCAGCTATCAGGTTTTGAACTTTAACCTCAGGGCACATACCTCTCCTGTGAGGTCCTACTTCTCTTCCCGCTCGATTCAGCAGAAAGGCCTCTGCCTGCATGGAGAAGCTCGCGTACAACCTGGTGAGGTCGTCTGAGGTAGCCTCAGGCCAAAAATGATAATGCTGCGGCCTCTCGATGCCGTCATCCTGCTGCTGAAACATCTCCCAGGGCTGATCGGGTCCATATACGTACGGTAGGATTGGGGTAACAGGTACCAGGATGCGAGCTTCCAGGATGTTCTGAGTCAGATCCAACTCACCAAAAATTCCCAGATGTGGCGCCCAAGGTCCCTTCTGGTCCAGGGAAAGCTTGACCAGGGAAGCAAGATGTTCCGAGACGACTCCGAAGTCCAGGATTCTTCCAGTGCCTCCAGAATTTGTAAATTCGCCAGGTGGTACAGCGATGTGTCCCCGAACAAACGAAGGCCACCCAGACTCCCAGAGCTCCTCAGGTGTCATGTTCCAGTCCGCCATGACTATGTAGTGCTTAGCCACAGAGAGTAAATATCCAGCTAGCTCTTCTAAAATAAGGCCGTTGGTGCCGACAGCCCCCTCGGAGTCATTCAAATATGCTGAAACAAGAGTCACATCCAGTCCTTTAAACCTGACTGTCCTGCCTACCCACTGCGTGCCGAAAAACTGTTCTTTACCATCTGGGCCGATCTTACAGGGGTAGAGGACCTGGGAGTGGATGGTGGTCCTCGAGAGGACCCAGACCCCGCCATGCCCAAGCGTCCCTTCTTTGGCCGTGGGAACAGCTGGGGCCGAGGTGGACAACCACCCCGCTCGCTTGAGTTTCTTCTGCGCCTGCAACAGCGCTCCTCCTCTCAAATGAGTTTCGGCACCCATGTGGAGCAAAACATCTTGCATATGCTCTGCCGCTAAATAGGCCATGGCACGCTCATTCCACTTGGTGTAGTTGGCGAAGTAGAAAAGGAACTTCTGCCCAGCGCCGCCGCGTTGCCGAGCATGTGGTACCCGTCCTTGGCTAAAGCCCCGTTGGGGACGCCTGAGACTGCGCGAACTTCTGCTTTGCCGCCTCGAGGGTGGCCTGGATTTGTTCATCGGAAACATGTGGCTGAGACGGTGCCGTGGCTGATGGATTTGTAGCATCTTGCGTCGCCGAGGGTGTTGCTGCACCAGGACCCGAACTAGTCGCCTCACCCCTGGATTCCGCCGCTGCAGTGCCTCCAGCCTCTTGTGATTCAGCATCACCTCTGCCACCAGCTCGTGCTCCACCTTCATTGGTACGTCGCCTTTTGTGTGCCATCCTTGACTTGTATTCTTCAAACTGTTGCTTCCTTTCCAAGAGTGTCTTAGCCGAGGGTCCCACCGCGGCGCAAATAAGTTTGGATACTTCTTTTGCCAATGACTCTTTATGCTCTTTCCATTGCTGCAATTCTTCTGGCGATAATTCCAACTCCGACGTGTCAAAGCTGGCACCGTCCTCGAACTTGAGAATCTCCAGGAGCTCGGTCTCCTCCGTGGCGCTGAGCAGCTTGGACAGGTTGATGGGGGCGGTCTGCTGCAGCACCTTGGGGTCGACATTTGCCTGAAGAAGAGCTTGGTGTCGAGCTGCCGCCTCTGTTGCAACTCTGGCTTTGTCACGTGTGTCCGCTTCCGCTTTGGCAAGGTATTCACGGCATTCTGCTTCATATCGGATTGCACGATCAAGAGCTTCCGCTGTCTTGCGCGCTTGTACCCCAGCTTGATTGAGATCCTGTTCTCGCTGGAGTTCTGGCCGTAGCTTGGGTTTGTCCACCTGCTGCACTGGAGGCGCTGCCTTGGCTTCAAAAGCTTGAAGTTCCGCTCCTGCTTCTGGATGTCGTTGCTTGAGTGCCTCCAGCAGCTGCTCCGTGGTGGGCGCGAACGGCGAAGTGGCTGGAAGCGCGGCGCCTCCTGCCTGCCAGACGCCTGGCGGCGCACCAGCGGCCGCCATGTTGCCCGCCATGGTGAAGGGGCTCCCACCTGGCGTGCGGGCGCGAGGTGGGCCATAAGCCCAGGCTCCCGAGGCTGGTTTGGGCCAATCATTGGCTGCGGGCCCGAGAGCTTTCCCACACTGCCAACACTGAGTATGGTTCTTCCAATTCCAGCGATAGCCACAAGAATCATGCGGGCACACCTGGTAACCTTTCTGCTGCTGTTTCCCCATCGCTGCCGCGGGGGGAGAGTAATCGTGATAGAAATGGGCTGGGGTCGCGAACCCCTGGCCAGAGAGTCTCAAGGTATCTCTTTTTTCACACGCCTCAACTGCTCGAGCGAGGTTGGAAGTTCAGGAGAAGGCCCCTTGAGCCAAAATGGCTACGGCCTCTTCCTCTTCCTCCTCCCCCTCCCCCTCCTCCTCCTCCTCCTCCTCCTCCTCCTCCTCCTCCTCCTCCTCCTCCTCTCCTCCTCCTCCTCCTCCTCCTCCTCCTCCTCCTCCTCCTCCTCCTCCTCCTCCTCCTCCTCCTCCTCCTCCTCCCTCCTCCTCCTCCCCCTCCCCTTACCCGTCGCCCCCTTCGCCCCCCCTGCCCTCTCGCGCAAGACCGCCGCCGCCCGCCGCGGTCGACCGAGGCCTCTTCGCCGCGTGCGCCCCGGGCGGCGCGCTGGCGCGGCTGTGGGAGCCCGTCGCGCCGCCCGGCGCTGGGCCGCCCCTCGCGCCGCCGCCGCTCGCTGCCGCCGCCGCTCGCCGCGCGGCGGCGCCCCCGCCGAGCGTGAAGTCGGGCGTGTCGCCCTACAGGAGGAATACTTGGCAGCGCTCGGACGTGTGCATTTGTTTTCCCTCGGCGAGGACCATCGAGGAGCATCCTTGCTCATTTGGCGAAAAAAACCACGCACGAAACCGAAACAAAACACAGGGAATGGACGTCCGAGCGATGCCCAGAATGTTCAAAACTGGTTGTATGACATAGTCTGGGGACGATGTGTTTTTAGCATGTTGTAGTGTTTGTGTTTGCATATTCGGTTACTTTCGAATCTGTCTGGAGTACTTTTTAGCTTTCCTCCAAATTCCGCCTGTAGGAGGACGTGTCTGACCTAAGCGGGGCACTCCGTCGAAGAGGAAGATGAAGGAACTCAGCTACGCGCAGAGGGTGGTAGGGGGAGGGGGCAAGGCTACTTGGAAGCGCCCCTGCTCGTTAGAAGGCGCGGGCCTCGTCTGTAGATGTCGTGCCCGCGCCTTCTAAGAAGCGACCTCCTCCTAAGGAGCCTTCCCTCGTCCCCCTTACCAATTTGTGCGCGCCGCCAAGAAAACCTGCACAGCTTCAAATTGTGCTAGTTTCTCGGATCAGCGCTGGAGCCCTATTGGCGGCGCCTCCGGCGCCCAAGGAGGGCGGCCCGGCGCGGATGCGAGAATTCCGCGCCAAACCCCAAACGTCTATGGACGCAGTTCTTGTTCCCTCTAGTAGCGTCTGAATTCCATATCGAACCCTGGGGACCTTTCGTGGTTTGCACCAAAGGCTCCTGGATCATTCCCCTCTGAGGCAGTCTCGTTTTAGCTCGTCGGTCCTGTAAAACATGTTTTTGCTTTGAGGATGCTTCTTGCATTCTGAGGACACTTCGTGGCAGGCCAATAGGACTGACTGCCGGGGCGGTTCGTCCCTGCTCAAGCGCCCAGGACCATCTTTGTAACATGTTTCAGGGGCGGGAGTCGGCCAGCCGTGCGGGGCCACCTCCCTCTCATTCGATCCTCCCTCCTCCCCCCCCTACTGGCTACATCCTTCCTGGGGGAGGGGGGGGGGGCGGGGGAGGAACGAGGTGGGTCTGTGTATGGGTGCCCTCCTCCTGCGGCAGAACCGCTTCGCGTTTCCCCGCCCGCCGACCGTGGTCCTCGTGGGAGAAGCCGAAGGGCGGCCCCCAAGACGGCCCAGCACCGTCCCGGGGCGGGTCCAGCTGGGCGCATGGTCGACAGCGTCGGAGAGGGATCCCAGATGGGCCCCCCAAGGGGCCCAGAAGATTCAGGTGAGGAAAAAACACACAGACACAATGAATCCTCGATTCCCCAGAACATATGGGACGACATGGGAAGTGGGGGGGGAGACAAAAACCCAGAAACTATGGGATAATATGGTGACTCGTTTTATTTGTTCGTGTATTTATTTGTGTGTCCTGGAGCTCCTTCAAGAGGGATCCCAGATGGGCCCCTCAAGGGGCCCAGAAGATCACCACCCACCAAACCACCCCAACCCAACCCGAAGGCCTCAATTTGCCCTCCATTTCCAGTGAGGGGGGGGTCGGGGGACACCGAAAACACACATATGGAACCCGAACCCCCCCATCCCGAAATTGAGGTCTTCGGGTTGGGTTGGGGTGGTCTGGTAGGTAGTCAGAAGATGAGCTCCCATCCCACGGCTCCCCCCGCGGCCACGGGCCCCAAAAGGGCCAGGAGGAGATGCGCCTCCCGGGCCGCCGCGGGGGCCCCTTGGTGGCGGCCCCCGGGAGGGCCGCTGGCCGGCCCGGGCGGGAGCTGTCCCGTGGGTTTGGAGCCCGTTGGGCGCCCGAGCGCACACCAAAATCGAGGCCTGGTCGGGCTTGCTAAAACGACGCGAAGATCGGAACAAAATCGGATCGGGATAACTCGAAATCTCTGAGAATCGGCGGGTTTGGACGATGTATCGGGCGCCGCGGCCGCTCCAGAGCGTTCCGGAACGCTCTGGGAGCGCTCCGGAACGCTCTGGAGCGATTTAACTTGATCCTAGCCCTATTTTAGCTTGGGGCCCGTTGGACGCCCGAGCGCACACCAAAGTCGAGGCCTGGTCGGGTTCGCCTCGGGACTCGTGTCGGGTACGACTAGCAGGATGCACAAGTCCGACAATTTCTCAACGCTTCGCGTGAGCCCACAGATTATGTGCGAACCGGCTTGCCAACGTGGCGGTGGTGTTCGCAAATTCGCATCGTGCCGCATGCCCCGAACTTTTCTTCTCGCCCGAGCGCACACCTCACTAAGTCAAAACAGATGCCCAATCCCAAAAACGCGAGGGCCAAGACAGAATGAAGGCTCCTCGAGACTTCGGGGAGGGAGATTTTGGGGTAGGGTTTTGCCAGGGCGACGACGACGAACGCAAAACATACCCCGAAATCTTTGGCCGATCTTCGAATCCTCGGTGAATCCGCGATTTTGGGATTGGGGATGTGTTCCTTCGTGGTCAACACCAATCGAGGCCTGGTCGGGCTTGCCTCGGGACTCGCATCGGGCACGACTAGCAGAGTGCACAATCGGGCCGGGCGAAAGGGGGGGATTGGGAAAGGGGGGGGGTACGAAATTTGCTGCATGCAGCTGGTTTCGGCCTCACCGAGGGGCCCAGTCCTCGATACATAGCCGCCTCCGGCGCCGGGAGAATCAGCTACGCGAGCTGATTCTCAAACCCCCCCTTTGCTATCCCCCCCTTTCGCCCGACCCGACACAAGTCCGACAAGTTCTCAACGCTTCGCGTGAGCCCACCGGCCTTTTCTTTTCTCTTCCGCGTCCGTTCTCTTCCTCTGTTCGCCTCCCTCTTCCTGTGCGCTACTTTAGGCCGATGCATCTGCGCTTCGTACCTTCACGCCGCCCGACCTTCTCGCCGCGGTCGCGATGAAAAAGTGACCCCACCAGCCCATCCAGGAACGATGCCCTGGGGCGTTGCCTTGTTGTCGGAGGAGCCTGGCATCATTCGGATGCTTCGGGGAGCCTCAGTGAACCAGAGGAGAGGGCTCTTTGATTCAGAGCGTGAATTACCTACTCCGCTTTCGCTTCCAGGCTAAACCAAGCCATACCACGCGCCTCCTCGTCAAGCGGCCTGACCAGTACAGGCAGCAATTTGGCATCGTTTGGTATCTCTTGGAAGCGAGGTTGGTCAAAAGCCAGGTAGGTTTGTTTTTCCCCTATTGATGCCTCTCGAAGTCGCTTGGGATGTCTCCTGGGGGGGCTCTCGGTGGCCTCTTCGGGCGTCTTGGGGGGCCACTGGGGGGCTCTTTTGTTGCCTCTTGGGGCCTCTTGGGGGCCTCTCGGGGGCCACTCGGTGGGCATCTCAGGGGCCTCTCGAGACCTGCCTGGGGCCCTCTCGGGAGCCCTGGAGGCCTTCTCGATCAAAGAAGGGGGTGGTCCTTCATCAGCGTCGCCGCGCGAGAGCCTCTAACATCGCCTGTTGGGGCGTTCTGGGGGCGCCCCTGGGGCGCTCTTTGGCGATCTTGGAGCCGTCTTGGAGCCCTCTTGGGCCCCTGTTGGGCCCGTCTTGGGGCTCTCCTGGGTCCTCTTGGAGCCACGTTGAGGCCTCTGCCAGGCCATCGCGAGCGAGAAGGCCAGAAGCGTTCACATCCCAGCGGTCTTGAACGGATTTGGGCCTCCTGGGAGAGTCCTGGGGAGCTCCCAGGGGCCCAGGCGGAGGAGGAGGAGGACTAGGAGGAGGAGGAGGAGGAGGAGGAGGAGGAGGAGGAGGAGGAGGAGGAGGAGGAGGGATGAGGAGGAGGAGGAGGAGGAGGAGGAGGAGGAGGAGGAGGAGGAGGACGAGGAGGACGGAGGACGAGGAGGACGAGGAGGAGGAGGAGAGGAGGAGGAGGAGGAGGAGGAGGAGGGAGGAGGAGGAGGGAGGAGGGAGGAGGAGGAGGAGGAGGAGGAGGGACGAGGGACGAGGGACGAGGGACGAGGGAGGAGGGAGGAGGGCCACTTGGACCAGTCTGGGAACGGTCTCGGGACTTCTTGAAGCGTGCGGGAAGTTCTCTTGAGCAATCTCGCGCTGTCTGGAACAGCGCGCTCTGCCTCCACAGGCGAGGCCCCCCCCCGGTCCGAGCCGGAGAGGAAGGGAAGGACGGCCCCGCCCCAGGGGTTCGGACCCGGGGGCAGGGTCGCCAAGGGCGACGATGACGCCGGCCACGACGACGACGGCGAGCACGACCATGACCGCCACGATCACGACCATGACTGCGACGACGACGACGACGACGACGACGACAGCGATGACCACGACGACGACGACGGAGTGCTAGTGGGATCCACGACGGCGAAGGCGTCCAAGACGGCGACCACGACGTCGACGACGACTGAGCGCTAGTGGGATGCTATTCAAATATGGGTCGAGCCCTAAGAAAGTTGCATGAAAGCTGGATCGGCCTCAATGGGTTATATTAGAGCTGCATCCAGTCCACAGTAGGATCCGATGAGAATTGGAACGAGTCCTGGTTGGATTCTTTTAGAGCTGGATCCATCCCATGATAAGACGATAGTCAGCTTGGAACGAACCCCAGTAGGATGCTTTAAGAACTGGATCCAGCCTGAGTTGCACGATTCGATTAGAGCTGGATCGAGCCCTTCGCAGGATTCCTTTACAGGTGGATCCAGCCCGAGTGGAATAACATATGAGCTGGGTCGAGCCTTTATATCATCAAAGTAGTGCTCGATCGAGGTTTACCAGGACTGTACTAGATGTGGATCTAGCCCTAGTAGGGCTCCGTTAGGGACGGATCGAGCTACTGTAGGATCCCATTTGGGTCGGATTCAGTCCTATAGAATTTCACTGGAGCTAAATCCATCCGTAGTCAGAGGAGTATTTTAAAGCTTGATCGAGCCTTCGTCGTCGGCGTCGTCGTATTGCATTGAATGTCCCGCCTGCCCGACCCACATCCTTGGTGTCATGGCAGGCCCGCCCTC